AAAGACCCCGAATAGCTGCAGCAATCTTGAGAAAGAAGAACAATGTTGGAGGGATCACAATACCAGATATCTAGCTATACTACAAAGCCACTGTTCTCAAAACTGCCTGGTACTGGCAGACATATAGACCAGTAGAACAGAAAGGAGAACCCAGAAATCGACACACGCCAGTATGCTCAATTAATATTTGACAAAGGAGTCAAGAGCATACAATGGAAACAAGACAGTCTCTTCAATCAATGGTATTGGGAAAACTGGACAGATACTTGCAAAAAAAATGAAACTAGACCACCAACTTATACTATTCACAAAAATAAACTCAAAATGGATAAAGGACTTAAACCTAAGATGGGAAACCATAAAAATCTTAGAAGAAGCCATAGGCAGCAAAATAGCAGACATCTGTCGTAGCAGTATCTTTACTGATATAGCTCCTAAGGCAATGGAAACTAAAGAGAAAATAAACAAATGGGACTACATCAAAATAAAAAGCTTCTGCACAGCAAAAGAAAGCATCAACAAAACAACAAGAAAGCCCACTTCCTGGGAGAACATATTTGCCAATGTTATCTCTGGTAAGGGTTTAATCTCCAACATTTACAGGGAACTCATACAACTTAACAAAAGGAAAATAAACAATCCAATCAAAAAATGGGCAAAGGACCTAAATAGACACTTTTTGAAAGAGTACATTCAGAAAGCCAAGGGACATATGAAAACATGCTCAAAGTCACTAATCATCCGAGAGATGCAAATCAAAACAACAATGAGGTACCATCTCACACCTGTCAGAATGGCTATCATCAACAAATGACAAGTGTGGAGAGGATGCAGAGAAAAGGGAACACTCATGCACTGCTGGTGGGAATGCAGACTGGTGCAGCCACTGTGGAAAACAGTATGGCATTTCCTCAAAAAATTTAAAATGGAAATACCGTTTGACCCAGGAATACCACTTCTAGGAATGTATCCCAAGAAAACAGAAACACCAATCAGAAAGGATATATGCACCCCTATGTTCACAGCAGCACAATTTACAATAGTTAAGATTTAGAAACAGCCTAAATGCCTATCAGCAGATGAATGGATTAGAAAACTGTGGTACATCTATGGAATGGAATACTACGCTGCTGTAAAAAAGAAAGGAATTCTTACCATTTGCAACATCATGGATGGAACTGGAGAGCATTATGCTAAGTGAAATAAGCCAGTCAGTGAAAGATAAATACCACATGATCTCACTCATTTGTAGAATATAAAGAACATTATAAACTGGTGAACAAAAATAGAGGCAAAGAAGCATCGAACAGACTGTCAAACTACAGCGGGAAGGTAGGGGAGGGCTGGGGGGAATAAGAGATCAACCAAAGGATTTGTGTGCATGCATATAAGCACAACCAACAGACGCAAGACACTGGGGGTTAGGGGAGGCCGGGGGAGGTCAATGAGAAAAAAAAGGAGACATATGTACTACTATTTGTAATACCTTAAACAATAAAATTAAATTAAAAAAAGAAAAAGATATCCCAGAAGAAACTGAAGAGACAAAAACTTATGGTCTGGGGGTAAATTCAGCATAAAATAAAAAAATTGCATTGGAGATTGGGGTATAAATTATGTAAATTAAAATGTCCTAATTGTTCAGGGGCTAGAGTTCTATTTCTATTTTTATTATTTTTTAGTTTTATTGGATTGTAGATATTGCAATTGTTTCTGCTGGTTTCCTTAATTTCTTGCAGTTTTTGCTTCATGAAATGTCAGTGCTGAGTTATTTGGTGCATGAGTATTTATTACAATTTATTATGGATTACAGCCTTTGGCAAATGGCTCCCCATTTTTCTGTTTTACAACCTTTACCTTTACCTTAAACTAAACCTGCTCTGATACCAATCTCATGACCCTTATGTTTTTAAGGAAATGTTTTTATTGATTTTAGAGAGAGGGGAACAAAGAGGGATAGAGAGATAGAAGCATCGATGAGAGAGAAACATCACCAACTGGCTGCCTCCTACATGCCTCCTACTGGGAATCACGCCTGCAACCCGGCATGTGCCCTGAACAGGAATCTAACCAGTGTCCTCTTGGTTCACACATCAACACTCAACCACTGAGCCACATCGGCAGGGCATGACCCTTGTTTTTAATATTAGCAATTTTGTCCCCCAAGAGGAGACATATAGATTAGTACTCAAATATAACAACAGCAGCAGCAGCAGCAGCTGACACTTAGCGCTGACCATGTCCCAAGCACTACCTTAGCATGGTAATGAATCATTTCATTCTTACAACCTCTGATGTAAGTACTATTAATTATTATGCTCATTTTATAACTTGTTAAAGATCACACACCTACTTCAGCCCGGGCAACTCTCACCTTTGTGGAAGTTTTTCTTCCACTCCTGTGAAACAGCTTTAGGATTCATCAAAGCACTCTTTCCATTATTCAATGTTGCCTTCTGTGTCACAAGACAGAACCTTTAATCTCCACCAAACCTTTAGTACTAATTACACACACTTGAAATTAACTCTAATAAGTAAAAATCAGTAAGTTTGTTTTCAACTATTTTATATCCTCAAAGACCGACTCCTCCATGAAGCCTCCCTGGACCATTCATTCATGATTAATCCATTTTTATTGTTTGGCAAACAAGACAGAGAAGATGCAACAGCCCTTGATGCTTATCTTACACCAGGGGAAAGAGACAATAAACAAGTAGATAAACCTACAGATTGTGGTAAATGCTATCAAAGTGACTGCAAGATCAGGTGACAAGGGGGAGCAGTGCTACTTCTGAGGTAGTCTGGATACACTCTCTGAGGAGGTGATATTTAAGTTGAAACAAGATGAGGAGCCTTCCATGATAAGAGCAAAGGAAAAGTCCAGGCAGAATTCTGGTTTATCTAAGGAATCCAGGATTGGAGGAGTACTAAGAGATGAGGTGGCCAGATAGACAGGAGAAGATTAAGTAGGATTTTGCCTATTTAAAAGCTTTCTTAGAAGGTTTGAAACATAAAAATGGTGAGGTCTGACATGCTTTAAAAGATCATCTGGCTGCTCTGTGGAAAATGGATTAGAGAAGATTCGGAGTAGAAGCAGGCAGTCCAGTTGGGCTTCAGCACAGTCTTGTCAATGCTACTCAGAGTAAGGTCAGCAAACCAGTGCCTCTCTGAGAAATGTTTGTTTCCAGTCTAGGAGATAACTGCAGAAATTGAGAGAAAATGTTTAGAAACTTTTGTAGCCATTTGGCATGGCTGCAACAGGATGTGATTAATGGGTTTATCTTACTAAACAGATAAACAGGTTCTCTGCTGTCTGACATATTTAGTTTCAAGTGGCAAAACTGCATAAATGTATCAGTCACAATTAATTTCAAAAAGCTGCTCCTTCACCAGAGTTTGAGAAGCACTGATCTCTATGATTAATAACAGGGCTCATACGAGGGTGGTGGCAGTGGAAATAGAAAAGATGAGTTCAAGAGATACATTGGAGAAGTGGTAGGACTTACTGATAAATAGGATATGAGGGGGAATCAGAGAAAGTAGGAACAAGGTTTCTGGCTTGAACAGACAGATATGGTGGCACCATTTATTGAGAAGATAAGATGGTGGTGCCCACAGCCAATAAGGAGGGAATATGCTAATTGACAGCCCCCCCCCTCAAAGATGGCAGTGCCCACCGCCACAAGATGGTGGCGCCCAGTCCACTCAGTCCAACTTGGGCGGCAGGTGCATGGCAAGGCTGGGCCCGCCCACGCACCTGCCTCCAGAGTTCCCCAGTCCCCTCAGCCTCCCAGCTGCCCAGGGCCGGCCTGAGGTGCAGGCAAGCCTCAGATGTCTGCTGTCCAGCCGCCCAGGGCCAGCCCAAGGCACAGGCAAGCTTCAGATGGCGGCTGCCCAGCTGCCCAGGGCCAGCCGAGGCTTGCACTGCTGGCAGTGGCAGCAGCAGAGGTGTGATGGGGTGTTGCCTTCTCCTGATCGCTGGGTTGCCTCCCGCCCCTGAGGGCTACCGGATTGTGAGTGGGGGCAGGCTGGGCCGAGGGACACCCCCTCCAGTGCATGAATTTTCATGCACTGGGCCTCTAGTTACTATATAATCAACATTTACAGTCATAGAAAAGTACACATAGAGAAGAGAGCCCTGAGTTTAGTCCAACCTGGTATTTAGAGGTTTGAAGAGTAGGAGGAGCCCGCAAAGAGTGGCCAAGAGATACAGAACATGGAAAGTTGCAGGGGGAACAGGAGAGTTTCAGGAAAGAGGGCACTCCTGAGAAATAGATTATAATGAGGACAAAGCGGTGTGTCACTGATGGGCTTTTGATGAACAATTTCACTGGAGTAATGTGCACAAAAGAGTGAATGGCAACTTGAAAGTAGAAACCACAGCCTGAATTGATCCTTTCTTGTGCATTCTCACACTTATCTCTTTTAGCACACCTTTCATCTCTTTCAGTGTTACTTGTTTACCATCTGTGCCCTTAACCAAGCTATAAATTCCATAAAGGCAAGGACTGTGTCTCACTTATTTTTAAAAAACTCCTTCCACCCTCCAAGCTTAGCACAATGTGTTTGTTAAACTGAATTGAACTCATTTTGCACAACATTTTACTAAAAATAAAAACACTTCATAAGAGGTAGGTACAAGTGTACAATGCCTATTAAATGTTATTTCAATCTCCACATATGAAATTTCGTGTCTGTTCCTAGCATGATCATATATCATTCCACATTAAACTATCCCTAACATATCTTCTAAGAAGCAATAAATATCCCATACATTAAATTATCTTCTAGAAAGCAATCCTCTAACTCCAGTATACCAAAGGTGTGCCTGAAGATCCCAGGAATTAAAAACTTTAGGTATGGTGGTTACAGTGAAGTAGGTAAGTCTTTCAAAAAAAATTTAAAAACACAACATAAATTTTGTTAAATTAAAAAAAATAAAAAAGCCATTCAGGAAAGAACATATCAAGTAAAAACAGCTTGGTTTCAATAGGAAGTACCTCCTTATAGTCTCCATTTCGGTTGAGTCTGTACCCCTCAGGAGTATGAAGCTGAACGGTTGTATTATTGATCACTTCTATACAGCACTCTTGATCAGGAAAGCTCAGTGGGCGCACCCTACAGTATACCTGAAAATACAAGGAAGTGTTTGAAGAACAAAAGTTGACTTTTTACCTGACTTTTCATTTAAGCTTCCTATTCATCCATTCAACAAATATTTGGTGTCTTAAATTAAGAGATCAATATAATAAACTTAGAGGTATGAAAATTGCTGCCCAAGACTGTTAAATACAGATATTAGATATGATATAAGAGATCTTATTATTTATTTTTAAAGTATATTTTTACTGATTTCAGAGAGGAAGGGAGAGGGAGAAAGAGATAGAAACATCAGTGATGAAAGAGAATCATCACTTGCCTCCTGCACATCCCAACTGGGGATCGACCAGACATGTGTACTGAACGGGAATCGAACTATGACCTCCTGGTTCACGGGTCGATGCTCAACCACTGAGCCACACTGGCCAGGTGATATGAGAGATTTTAAATGCACATAAATCTAAAACATTTTGGTAACAAAAGCATCAAACCCAAAGCTTCTTTTCACTATTGTATTGGCACAAATTTAATAAAGTTATACTACTAATTTAAAACTCTAAAAATCAATAACATATCACACAATGAGCATTATTTGAAAATCTGTTCAAATTCTTTGGAATTGAATGTCAATTAAAACTTGCCAGCTTAACACTTAATGTATACATAAGTAGATGCAAGATCTGAAATGTGGTTTTCTTAATCAATGACAGTGTTGAGGAAAAACTGTTCAGCTCTATGTGCAGAGTATGTGGTTCCCTCAGACCAAGAGACACATTCCAGTAACAGTGAAGGGGAGATTTAAAATATTCCAGAGCAGCCCGGCCAGCATGGCTCAGTGGTTGAGCATCAACCTATGAACCAGGAGGTCACAGTTTGATTCGCAGTCAGGGCACATGCCCGGGTTGCAGGCTTGATCCCCAGCAGGGGGTGTGCAGGAGGCAGCCGATCCATGATTCTCTCTCATCATTGATGTTTCTATCTCTCTCTCCTTCTCCCTTCCTCTTTCTAAAATCAATAAAAAATATTTAAAAATGAAAATAAAATATTCCAGAGCAAATCAACAGTCCTATGTTTGCCCCTGCCTTTTGTTGTTGTTGCTGTTAATCCTCACCCAAGGATATTGTTTCCATTGATGTTCTAGAACAGTGATGGCGAACCTTTTGAGCTCGGCGTGTCAGCATTTTGAAAAACCCTAACTTAACTCTGGAGCCGTGTCACATATAGAAATTTTTTGATATTTGCAACCATAGTAAAACAAAGACTTATATTTTTGATATTTATTTTATATATTTAAATGCCATTTAACAAAGAAAAATCAACCAAAAAAATGAGTTCGTGTGTCACCTCTGACACACGTGTCATAGGTTCGCCATCACTGCTCTAGAAACTAGAGAGGGAGGGAGGAGGGAGGGAGAGGGAGAGAGAGAGAGAGAGAGAGAGATACATCAATGTGAGAGATATCAACTGGTTGCCTCATGCATGCATCCTGACCAGGACCAGGGATCATCACCTGCAACCAAGGTATGTGCCTATGACGGGAATCAAAGCCACGACCCTTTGGTGCATGGGCTGACGCTTCAACCACTGACCCACACTGGCCAGTGCTGTCACCTGCTTTTGAAAGCCTGAAACTAGTGAAGTACATGCAATTATGAACAGTCATTAGACTGAATTAAACTGTTCTATATCAGTCTTAAACGTGGTCCCATAAAGTATGGAGTTTGGGGCTTTCTTCATGAAGCGTGCCATCAGTTGGTGTGTTACGGTCCAGAACAGTGGTCGGCAAACTCATTAGTCAACAGAGCCAAATATCAACAGTACAACGATTGAAATTTCTTTTGAGAGCCAAATTTTTTAAACTTAAACTATATAGGTAGGTACATTGTTATTAACTTAATTAGGGTACTCCTAAGCTGGCCTTTGCTAAAAAGGTCCTCAATCTGATTGAGGTATGTTCGCTGAGGTCGACCCCTTCCTACTCTCCCATCCACACTCGTCTTGGATACTTGTTTCGTCTATCTCCTTTCCGAAAACCGACTTCTGCGCATAGGCCACGAAGTTTCAATCGCGCCCGCACGTGGTATTTTGTGGAAGAGCCACACTCAAGGGGCCAAAGAGCCCCATGTGGCTTTCGAGCCGCGGTTTGCTGACCACTGGTCCAGAAGATGGGAGAGGATGCTCGTCCAAGCAGAAAGTTTTCTCCCATCTTACAGAGTATGAAGAATTCTCTGGGATAGTTGAATATTTTTCATTATCTAACTCTTCAAATTATAATTAGTTATAGTAAGCATGTAGTTGACAACCAAAAATTTCATTTTACTGAACTAATGAATCATATATAGAAACAAAATTAGAAAGCTGGAACCAGCCTTAAGCAATTTAGTACAGTTCTTTTAACTAAATGTTCTTTTGACTCCATTTCCACATCTCCATTCATTCCAAGCATACACATAAGACATAAAAGGAATGAAGAAAGAACACACACAAATTCACAGGAAGACCTTACCCCAACTGGGTCTTTAAGACTCGTTTGGGATCCTTTCTTCCCTACAGGTTTCCTGGGTGTTTTAGTCCTCCTGGTCAGAGATAAAGAAAAAAAAACCCAAAAAGCATTTCAGTTCAGCACTAACATTCAAAAACCTCACTTATAATTCATACAGAGAAAAACTTCCAAGGTTTATAAATTATTCCTGAGCAGTTCCAAAACACTACACCATAAATAACTAACACAAGAATAAATTGCATTAGTAGTGTTTGTGGCATGCATAATACAAATATAATTAAAATTTGGTTTAGGAGACATTTTTGGTACTAAATGTACCTACTTCATATTTAAAATAGCTGGGATATTTTCTTGAGCGACAATTTTACAGAGGCACTACAAGTTTGAAAATTCTAATGGTAAATGACCACACTTACCTCAAAACACGTTTATGTGTGTGCACAAGCACACTCGCTGCACCAACAGCCATTGCCCAAGGTAGACTGACAAGTGGTTAACTTCAATAAATTATAAAAACAGGTGGAAGAATCCATTCTTTCATCAAGATTTATGTCTATACTTTCAAGGTCACTGAATTTTTTAATTAAATCTTTATTGTTCAGATTATTACAGTTGTTCCTCTTTTCCCCCCCCCATAGCTCTCCTCCACCCAGTTCCCACCCCACCCTCTGCCCTTACCCCTCCCACTGTCCTCATCCATAAGTGTATGATTTTTGTCCAGTCTCTTCCTGCACCCCCACACCCCTTCGCCCCCAAGAATAGTCAGTCCACTCCCTTTCTATGCCCCTGGTTCTATTATATTCACCAGTTTACTCTGTTCATCAGATTTTTTATTCACGTGATTTTTAGATTCACTCGTTGATAGATATGTATTTGCTGTTCATAATTTGTATCTTTACCTTTTTCTTCTTCTTCCTCTTCTTAAAGGATACCTTTCAGCATTTCATATAATGCTGGTTTGGTGGTGATGAACTCCTTTAGCTTTTTCTTATCTGTGAAGCTTTTTATCTGACTTTCAATTCTGAATGATAGCTTTGCTGGATAAAGTAATCTTGGTTGTAGGTTCTTGCTATTCATCACTTTGAATATTTCTTGCCACTCCTTCTGGCCTGCATAGTTTCTGTTGAGAAATCAGCTGACAGTCGTATGGGTATTCCCTTGTAGGTAACTGAGTTTCTTTCTCTTGCTGCTTTTAAGAGTCTCTCTTTGTCTTTTGCTCTTGGCATTTTAATTATGATGTGTCTTGGTATGGTCCTCTTTGGATTCCTTTTGTTTGGGGTTCTCTGCACTTCCTGGACTTGTAAGTCTATTTCTTTCACCAAGTAGGGGAAGTTTCCTGTCATTATTTCTTCAAATAGGTTTTCAATATCTTGCCCTCTCTCTTCTTCTGGCACCCCTATAATTCTGATGTTGGTACGCTTGAAGTTGTCCCAGAGGCTCCTTACACTATCTTCATATTTTTGGACTCTTTTTTCTTTTCGCTTTTCCGGTTGGGTATTTTTTGTTTCTTCGTATTTCAAATCTTTGACTTGATTCTTGGGATCCTCTTGTCTGCTGTTGGATCTCTGTATATTATTCTTTATTTCAGTCAGTGTATGCTTAATTTCTAGTTGGTCTTTTTTCATATCCTTCAGGGTCTCACTAAATTTATCGGCGGTTTCCAGAAAATTCTTGAAAAACCTAAAAAGTGTGGTTTTGAACTCTATATCCAGTAGTTTGCTTTCCTCCATTTCTTTCATTTGTGACATGTTTCTTTGTCTCCGCATTTTGGCTGCTTCCCTGTGTTGATAGAGTGGCTTTGTGTGCTAGATTTCCTATAGGGCCCAGTGGCTCAGCCTCCCATCATCTGAGGTGGATGGTCTTGGTGCACCCCTTTGTGGGCTGTGTGCACAGTCTTGTTGTAGTTAAGTCTTAATTGCTGTTGGTATCACTGGGAGGAATTGACCTCCAGACGAATTGGCTGTGAGGACCAGTTGTGTTTACAATGGGAGAACTGCTGTGGTAGAAACACCCTTATGGGGCAGGACTTGCTTCAGTGGGGCTTTGGTGCTCATTGAGTCTGCCCCCTGAGTGTGTCCCTTATGGATCTGAGGAGTTGTAATCTGGATGGTCCCACTCTGACCACTGGGTACATTGGCTCTTGGATCTAAGGAGGTGCTAATTTAGCCTCTGCCTGAGGCTACCCAGCAGGAGCTACGAAGAGATCTGCAGATTCTCCTTCCTTTTTTGGGCTTTGGAGGTGCCCAGATGAGGCCCAGCTGTGAAGCAATGCAAGCTGCTGTGGGGCCTTTTGGCCTTCTCTTGGAAGTTCTGGGTCTGTCTGGCCCAGCTGCAGTTTGTTAGGTAATTTTCAGATTGCAAAGGGCCAGGGCATTCATATGCAAAAGCCTCTGCCGCAGCTTGGGTGGGGCAGGGTCTCATGGGATCAACAGGGCGGAACAAGCAGCTATGGCTGATCCTCAGCCCTGCCCTAAGGGGCCCCGAGTCCCAGTGTCCTGGTAATTGCTGCAAGCACCTCTGAGGGAAAGCGGCCCTCAAGTTTCGAGTTCTGCCCGCTGCCAGACAGTTTCTCCCCGTATGAGTCCTGGGTCCCCAGAGACTTCCCGGAACCAGAGTTCAGAGCAGTCGGGAGCTTGTGACTCCCTCCAGATTCAAAAAGACAGCCGCGTCCTCAGGTGCCCGCCCCTTTCCGCGCGCGCTGGAGTCTCCGTACCTCTGCACTTTACTGTCGTAGCTCCTCTGAGTCTCAGTGTGCTTTTCTCTTTCCTTCTAGTTGTAGAATTTCCACTCAGCCAGCCTTCCTGTGGTTCTGGATGATGTCCGTTTTGTCTTTTAGTTGTATTTTTGAAGTTGTTGTGGGAGGCAGCAATTTCCGGTGTTTACCTATGCCGCCATCTTGGTTTCTCAGGTCACTGAATTCTTAAAACCTATCATCCTTTGTCACCCAAACAAAATGTGGTCCCCAAACTGCAATTTCTTGCTCTTAAATAATGTAACGTACACAACAGGCCTCAAATGGAGCCACCTGTGCTAACCCCACATCACCAAACCAAGACTTAATACCTAATCTAACAGCAGTTTAGTCTCCCCCAGGAATGCAATCTCAGCCAGTCAGTATGGAATTTCTTGGTCAGCATTGTGGTCCCTCAAAGGAAGGTGCCTGCTCTTTGCTTCTTCCTGCCCCTTTCTGCCTAGAAAAGTCTCTTGTATGCATGCATATAAGCATAACCAATGGACGCAAGACACTGGGGGTGGGGGGGTGGTGGTGAGGGCATGTGCCAGAGGCCGGGGGAAGGTCAATGGGGAAAAAAAGGAAACATATCTACTACTATTTGTAATACTTTGAACAATAAAATAAAACTTAAAAAATAAATAAATGCAAAAAAAGTCTCCCATTTTGTATGTAGTTCCTCAGGTCTTTCTAGCTGTTAAATGATAACCCCTCCCTCCCGCCCCAATTCACGAACTGTTGAGTAAAAGCCCATAAGATTTTTAAAATTTACTCAGTTGAAATTCTTTTTATCAGTAGGGACAACAGAAAAAGCTATTCTGATTTATTTCACTATTTCTCTAGGATGCCTGCCTCTCCCCCCCCCCCCCCCCGCCCCCTCCAATTTATCTACAGGCTGAACACTTACCACTAAAATCACGTGAAATGACTGGCTTGGACTACAGATTATGAAACTATTTTCTCAACATTTTCCCAAATGAAAAGAAGCAAATTAGTGTTTTAAGTGCAAGATAATTGTGATAGGTTTACTTAAAATTGCACGTTTTTTAAAAAAGATAAAGGATTTTGACTTTGGCCTCTTAAGAAAACCAAGCTGTCTTTT